TGCGCGTACCTGAATCTCATGGTGGCTCAAGAAATCACCGTGAGTCTCCTGAAAAAGAGAATGTGCAATTCAAGTTTGAACCAAGAACGAATGTCTCATCGCAATCGGGATCGCCGACACAATTGCGCTGGTCACAATGCGAAAATCGAAGAAAACTCATCAACCACCGCTTCCACCAACGCAGAGAAATTTTAAGAAGATGTCTAAGGTGTCGCTGAAGAAACTCATAGGCCCAGCAGACTCCGACAGTCGAGATGAAATCGCAGCGGCATGGTGCGAAGGTCAGCTGAAAGATGCGTACAACCGGAACGAGCCCCACACAATCCTGTCCAAGATTCCAGTGATGAAGGCCTTGGGACACCAAGTTCGCACAAAGCTAAAGGGACCGTAGACACAGTTACCTGTCACAATGGACAAATTCGACGCCATGAAGGCTGACGTGCGTGTGGTGAAGGAGGTCGGCATCACGGCGGGAGCTTTCAAAGCTTGCGATCTGTTCGTACTAGACCTCGAGGTGATGCATATTGCCCTGTTCAGGCTCTTTGACAGGCTCAGTACCTGGGTGATTCACCGAACCAGATCGTCTCTGATGTCAAATTAGCAGCCATGTTGTCACGACCAGTGGTATACGCGTCGCCCACTGGATCATTACAAAACTCGTAGTACACATCCGCGACTTCGGCAGCTGGATCGGACAGCTGAGAGATATCGGGCGGACGCAGCTTGGTTAGTTAGGAGTAGATATGCTGATGTTAAGATCAGAATATACGACACACGGTCAAGCCTAGGCGGAACCGCAGGCCATGTATTAGTGTCACCAACAATCCCGACCGACTGAAGACGTTTTTCAACTCCGCGATAGAGCGAGAGAGCAACGCACCAACCAAAGAATGCCCACAGTATAAGCGATGAATGTGATCCTACTAGCTGACCAGTGGTTAGCAGCAGGGTCCTGAAGTTTGTCGCGGTCGAGAAGACCGAGAATGCCGAAGGCACACAAGAGCGTGAGTCGCACAGACGGAAATACCGGGAATCCTGGTCAAAGGGCCCGCTAGATCTGGCGAAGTCAGTGAGAACTTTTTGTCGCCAGGCAGTGGGTATAACGCAACCCAGATACAATGGGGAAAGGAAGAGGAACCTTTCTGAGCCAGTAGATTGAAGAAATTACTTCGCCGCGCGAGAATTCGGGGGTACGCACCGGGAATATCAGTCCAGCGTGAGGATGGACCGGGTCTTCCGCGTGAGGTGGTGAAGGTGACTTCCAGAGGTGGCGTGAATACCATACGTATCCCCGTAGGCGCGTTTGCTCAACGGAACGTCACTCTACCGGAGGGATCATGAGGGGTATAGAGGATGTATAGCCTTAGACAAAGTGTGGGGGGACGTTCACTCCAGGAAGCAGCCCCGGGAACTTCGAAGGTAATCCGGGCACGGACATCTGCTCCTGGATCATGCGCATCCGTCACATCATACAGATATTGTTTACCTTCTCCATATAGTGAGTAGCTTACATCACCAAAGCCACTAGCGTGCATCTTAATCCAGTGTTCGTATTGGCACTCTCGATGGATATAGTTGTATTTGTACGCAAGATTTCGATCAACTTAGGATGCAGACAACTCGTGTACAGTCTCTCAGGTGCGTTTCTAGACTGGCTAATAACCAACATATAAACAGAGTTATACACAAATATATGCTGCTGTCCTAATATAGCAGACCCAGAGCGGGGTCTCTCACGATAGGCTCACTCGAGTCCAAGTTTGGGCACCTAGCAGGCCCAAACACTCACATTAGAGATGCGAGCTACTCAATTAAGATGATAGAATTTGCTGTAATCCAGGATACGGTCAATCCACACAACAGTCAATATAAATTCCAAAGAGCGACTACTTAGCGCTCCAGGAACACAAAGGATAATATGAAACGGGCAAAACACTAACAAATTAGTGACCTAACTAGATAATGAAATTGGTGGGTCATTCCAGGATATCAATCGCTGGTCACCACCTAACTGGACTATAGATAGGCGGAATTCCGGCGAGCGATCCGTCCATCTGGACCTACTTGCCCGGATGTGGTGGTGGAGGTGGTGGTGGTGGTGGTGGGAGAATGCAGCATACAATATCTTATGATATGTAAGCAATGTTGCATTACAAATTAAATCGATCTCTTATCCATAAAACAATTTTAGTATGATGTAGCTAC